TGGATGAAAATCTTATCTGAAATTTGAAATACATCCGAAATTTGAACCAAAATTTAGCTGAAATTTGAACCCACATTTATTCGAAATTTGAATTTTGAAATTCATCCGAAATTTGAACCCAAATTTTTATCTGAAATTTGAATTTTGAAATTCATCCGAAAATTGAACCCAAAAATCTTATCCCGAAATTTTATCCGATTATGAATAGTCATGACACGTAGGAACCCGGAAATCTTATCCGAAAATATTATCCAAATTAATTATTGAGGTAAAAAAATTTGTGAAAAAAACAAAAAAATGAATAGTAATTGCCCTTAGCCATGGCAATGGGTGGAAACACAAAATTTACTATTTGCAAGGGCAACCACTATTCACGTGAATAGTGGCTGCCCTAGCCCCCCTTGCCATGGCAAGGGGCAAATGGGTGGAGTTGCTCTAATGGTTGGCAAATAGGATTGCAAACCTTGCTTTTGCTTTAACCGATTCGATCACATGGGTTGGGGTCCCTCCTCAGCTCATTCGTGACGTATTGGTTGAAGATATGTTTTAACTTGTTATGTTTTTTAATATATCTGATCGTTTCCTTCAACAACAAAAAAACAAATAAGAAATGAGAATTACTATAATGGGCTATCATTTCATTGAAAACATTGAAAAGTGAAACAAAAATGGGACCGGCAATTGAGTATTTCATCATTTAACAAACTTTGAAGTTGGAAGGAATTATTTTGTGAAAACAGATGCGTGGAAAGGAAACTGATGCCCCAATTGTCCATTCTTCCTTTCTTACAAGTCTAAGTCGTTGCAATGAATGGACAAGTTGCATTTGGCTACTCGCGAATTTCTTCCTCCATGGCAATCATGTGCCCCACTCTTTGGCAATGGCAACTTATTCTGCCTTCATAAATTGCCTAATAAACTAGGACATACAAACTGAAGAAACGTGTTTTCGCTCAAAGAAATATGACATTTTGTCTCCTTTCATCTCCATTACTTAGGTCCTCAATTAATTTTTTTAGGGATCTTATTTTCATTTTAGAGATTTCAATGAAAACACTGTTGTATTAATTTACATTTGATACTAAAAGTCATGAACGAGTACATAGGGTTAGATTAGATTACATCAATCCATACACAGTGAAATTGTTGTAGACTAATAATGCAAGGGTTAGATGGATAAATAAATTCATAGCTTCTTACATACTTTGAATCGAGTTGGTATCAGAGGAAGCCAAGCAATATTCCATACCTATTGTGCACTGTGATAAGCAGCCAAGCAATATATTACTTGATCATGACATGGTTGCTGTTGTCATATAAAAACGATAAAAACGATAAAAATTGAAATTGTATAAATTCTACCAAGCGTTAGGCTAAAAGCTCAAATCATTGAGCTTTCTATATAATTGAGCCTGAATAACTGAATATTTTGATTACCAAAAACAAAGAATAACTAAATATTTCTGAAAAAGACATGAAGAGGAAATAAAAACTCAAAAGCTAAAAGATAGTGGGAAATTTTTTAACACCGACAAATGGATTTAACAGACATGAAGAGGTCTAAGTCTAAGTCGTTGCAATGAAAACAAACAGACAAATGGATTTAACACCGAAAACATACATTCCATATGAAAGCTCTTGAAAGGCCCTGTTAGTTGCACCGAGCCAAAACCCCCACTTCCAAGTAAGTTGCTTTCGTTAGATCTATTTGTCCATTCTTCCTTTCCTACAAGTCTAAGTCGTTGCGTTTGGCTACTTGAGAATTTCTTCCACAAGGGTGCAATCATGTGCCCCACTCTTTGGCACCTTGTTCTGCCTTCATATATTGGCACTGCAACAAATTATTCAATGATTTCAAGTTCTAAATCGGAAAGGAAAAAACAAACGAAAAACAATTTGAAGTTGGAAGGAAATTCTCTGTTTTCGGTGCTCATGGTCATGGAGAGAAGTTGTTTCCTCTTGTCAATCACCTTCTTGCTGGTGCTGCAGCTGCAGTACAGTTCT